GTTAAATACAATCCGGCTGCCCCACCTGTGTTGTCGTTCACTACAAGTGCATAAACCTGACAGGAGTGAACTCCACTAGTCATGAACCTAGTGACTATACATCCAAGTAAACTGCTTTCAATAAAAAATTTTCTATTCTATCTACTATTAGTATGATTTTATTGATTTTCTCATTTCTCAAAAATCTTTATTAATCTACTTGAATGATAATCTTTAATCGATACAAAAACTGACAATATTAATTCTCTTTGATGATTGATAACAATTTCTACAGGTATCTGGACGTGATGATCAAGGTTATCCAATACAACGTTGTTCTAAAATAGCTCTGTCATCTAGACAACCACAACAGATTGTTGTAACATGTCCAGCACAAATTGATGTTCGACGTGGAGCTACAGCTGAATTATCATGTTCTGTAACAAGTGAAATACCATATACAGTGAAATGGTTTAAAGATAAACAATTAATTACAGGATATTCTGATGAAAATAAAGTTTATAAGTAAGTATAGGATAATTTATATGTATCAGTGAGATGAGATTCTTTCATTGATCAGTCAGTCTGATTTTGATATGTGTGTAGGATTCAAACTGAGGTTTGGATTGAGGAATAAAACTGTCCAGGTAGTTTAGATACGCGTCTTGCTCAGTTGAAATCCAAAACAAGTGATTTCGTTAAATAACGATTCTAATATTCATCATAAATATACATTTTACGTCATTACCTAAACAAATATTACCAATCAGTTAGTTATTTCACCAACAATTGTTCAATTAATCAAATTAACAGGAACAAATAACTGATATTCTATCCTACCTGGATAGATCAGATAATATTTGGTTGCTTTATAACACAGAGTGCTTCTTGTTCTGGAAGAGTGCTTCAATTCACAATCAAAGTGCACAATTCCAGTCAGTAGCAAGCAATCCAATCAAAAGAGGAACAAATCAATATGGCTGTCACCATGACTAATAAGTATCAGCTTAACATAACATAAAGACAGTTCAGAACGAAACATAAAAACTCAGTGAAGGCAAAAGAAATAGACACTATAATAAAATACAAATATTATCATCTTCAAGATGGAATCGAACAGGATAACAGACTAAATGTACAACTGAAGGAATCAATAAGGAAAAATTACAAATGTATGCCAGGAGGGATTTGCACAAACAAAGCCTTCAAAAATGGATCCTACAATGTGTGCATCCTCAAATGAATACCTTCAAATTGACATTAACTCATTGGTATCACAAGCAGAAATGGATGGTGGTGGCTAGCTGTAGAATTCAGGACATATGTTTCGTTCTATTTAGGACTCATCAATTGGATGCACCTGCATTTCAGAGTTTATGTTCACTCTGGAACCGTAGGTCCTGCGTTCGATCTCCACTTACGGAATAGTGGATGTGTAATGGTTGCTTAAGATAATTCCCGGCTAATCTTATTGCTTAGTATTCTTGACACAAAACACTGGACAAGTAACCCAAATCAAAACACGGTTGAACAGGAAAGATTATATTCCAAAATAGCAAGGAATAAGAATCCGGAGGTGATGGCGAAAGCCAAGGCAAGAAGGCAAAAATAAATACAACACCAGTCTATTTATAGCCTTTACATGAGAAAGCTTCTGGAAGAAAATTCACGTGATCGACTGAACTGGATTTGACCAATCAGCATGCAGCTAATAATACGAGAATTTTCTATCCTGTTCTCCAAGCTTCGATCAGGCGCTGATTGGATAGGAAATTAGCCAATCAGAGCGCAGCAACGTAGTCATGCTTTAATATCCCACTAACACCTCCCCTTTGAGAAGATTCGTAGGATCTGGTGCTAGGGTCCAACTGCAACCGAGTGACTGGCTTGTACTTTCGATTAGTCCATCTTCTCGGGAATAAGGAAGTTGTGTCACTCTTTGCTTGCACAGAAACTGGCGTTTTGATTTCGCTAATGAGTCCCATACTAGAATAAAACGTTTGTCCGGTGCTTTGAAGTTTCTAATATTAGTTTACTATTTATTTGCTTATGATTTCAATGGAAACATAAAATCAATTGTTTTTAATTCCGTTGAAAGGCATTTTTTTAAAACAAAAGTTAACAAATTCATTTAATTTTTTTAAAAAAAATTGTTTTTAGTTTCCCAACTAATGTTGTATATACAATAACTGATGTAAATGAAGAATCACATGGAATTTATTCTGTTGAAGTAATACCTACTGTTACTGATGATGAGAAAAAAATGCAAGGACAATATCAAGATGAAATATCGGTGATTATTTTACGTAAGTTTAAATGATTAAATAATGTGTTACTAAATTCTGTGCATAAAATTAAAGGTTATTTGTAATAAAAATGTAAGAGGTTTCTTTTTTTGAACGATCACTTACTACAGTCAGTCAGTTGCAATGTAGAACTTCGTACGTATGTACATCAGTGTTCATGTCGCCATACCACATTAGCACAGAGACGCAAATGTCAAATCAAATCCCATAGTGATGAAGATAGTAGAGGTATTAATGGTAATGAAGAAGACTAGGGTTTGAAGATATTATTGAAGAAGTATAATTCAGTGAGATAAGGTTAGAAAAACAAAGGTTGAGGTTCTGACGAATCCAGAAGATTAGGATTTACGAGAGCACAAAGAATGGATGCACTTGCGCCATCACAAACGATTTTGAGTCATGTCATTCAAGGTCTCTAACCATTGGTTACTGTCATCTTGCGGACCCCAACCAGATAGCCTACATCTACCAACATAACTCAGTCCGTGAATTTCTCCCATGTTTTGGTCTGGCCGCCCCTAACTTTCTTCCAACCTACTCCTACACCACAAAACAAAGCTCGTCGAGGCAGTCGGTGGTTAGGCATACGTAACACATGTCCCAACCATCTGAACTGATGCATTTTCACCACTTCATCTATTGATCTGCCATCATTACCTAGTACTCGTTTCCTAACTGTAGCATTGCTTACTCGGTTGTCCCACGATATACGAGCAATGCTTCTTAAACATCTATGACCGAATACTAGGAACCTACGAACATCTTCTACTCTTAACGGCCATGTTTCACAGCCATATAGGAGAACAGAACTAAAAACCAAATAATATAATCTCACATTTTAATCCCAAAAGTTAGCCGAAAGTTTATTTGGTTTCCTTACACGTTACATATCCCACCAACTAAGTACAAACAAATGAATGAATAAAAAATAACAGTAGAAATGTACACCCCCTTTTTTTATAGTTTATCGAAACTTACTACTTTTTTATTTAATAAGTAGTTTTAGTTATCTTGCATTTTACACAGTTCTCTGTAATTGTTCTTGTGTAAATTAATTATAGCACCTCCACCTCGTGTTCTCATACCACGTAATGCAAGTGTTGAACCTAGGAACGGATGCAATACTCACAGTGTAATATCTTTAGTTTACACTGAAAATATTGATGTTCCGATGGTATCGAGGTTTAGATCCAAGATTTGAATTAAAGAGTGGACGTCGTCATACAATTAAATTAAATCAAGATACACCAGCTGGTGGTTTAACATCAGCTTTTACAAGTACATTAACAATAAGGTATGTTGTATATATATATATATATATATATATATATATATATATATATATATATATATAATAGTATTAGCCAATAATATTCATAGAATTGAGAGTGTGTAGTGCACTGGCGAGCGAATGCACGGAAGAATGAACGAAGCAGTGAATAAAACGAAGTGGAGAGGCTAGCGAGCCAACTCCATTACCGTCATAATATATAATATCATCATGAACCACAAAAAATAGTTCTTTCACATTAATGCGATAATGATAACGACCATTGGATAATTCGAGAGATGGATTCATGCAGCGAGTTAATACGTAATCGAAATGATAATACGATTTTTGTATGTGCATATAACCGCTTAAGTGGATTTGTTGCTTTCGTCCGATGAGATAGTGCGTTGTCGGTGTTGTATATTGAATCTGATTCGTTTAGCGAATTCATTAATTTCCTGAGCTGCTTTGTCGCTGTATCACGTCATGGCTTCACCATTTTGTAGTGTGTCGAATTAATGAGTATTCTTAAGCTCGGTTTATAAATCAGAACATGAATTCGTAGAGATGAATACGTTTATTCAGAACACTACCACAAAGCGAAAGCGGAGAAGCAGTGAATAAAACGAAGGAAGCTGAATGGATGGGTGAAGCGCCTTGGAGAAGGTTAAGAGCCAACTCAAAGAGATAGAACATGACTAAGAATATATAGTCAGATAAAAATAAGACAGACATATGATAAGCGAAATAGGCATGCACACGAAATAAATAAAAGCGACGAATGATTGATAAGGTCAAAAGCAAGCGATACAAATCATGTGAGTTCATGGGGATATTAAGAGATTAACATTAAAGAGAAAAGGATGAGTAAGCGCGTAGGCATAAACAATGCTCAGTCGTACAAGAAGCTCATACAAAACCAGATAATAAAAAATATCAATGGTACATATGGGTTGTTGCTATACAAATAGCGTGGTTGCATAAGTTAATCGAAAGGCGTAATCAAATTAAATATGAGCGAACTCAAGTTTATGTGGAGGCACTACAAGTGTACTGAAAATGAAATGTTTGTAATTATTGCTATTCATTAAAATTAAAATTATGTGAGTACAATCCACACAGACTTTATATTCATTCACAATTATCACCAGAGTGTATGTAGCAACTTCAGAATGAATTACTTTACTGGTTTTCTTGTCAATGAAATGTCTAAATGACTATTAGTACACTTTATCAGCAAAAGTTTTATGATATTTTTTTGAATTTAAGTTACGAAGATTAGTGTTTTTACACATTTGAAATCATCAATCAATCATTGTTAAACCACACCATTAGAAATCTGGAAGCACTGGATGGCCGTTTCAACCTGGTTGGGTGTAGGCAGTAACAACCAAAGACGAATAGACCACCCAAAATCCCTAGATCGATCAGAGTTAGACATTAACACCGTTGGATGCCGGATGCAGGAGTCATGGATTCGCTCTGCTGATGAGGAGTCCCATACCATGACCAAATGGCCATATTTCAGTGCTTCTAGGTTTCTAATGGTGTGGTTTAACAATGATTGATCGATTATTTCAATGTGCAAAAGTTTTTATTCTTAGTTACCAGTATACTTTATGTTCAAGTTAAAAGTTACATGATTTTCTTTAATTCAATTCTTTATTTTAAAAAATAAGAGTCATTAACTCATAGAGAATTGATGCTTTACTTTTAAATGTAACAAACAGTAGCCTGAGTGATCAAAGATTACTACCTGTTGTATACAATAAAATATGAAGGTATTATTCACAAATACATCACTAGAATAGACTATTAATATAGTAAGGATTTATGCTGTTACTGTGAACCTGTGTAAGATGAAGTCAAAATACCGTTTTTTTATTTGCAATAATTGTCAATCAGAGAACTCCATCTGGAGCTCTTCTAGGGTTACTGCCAGTCCTAAGACCGGATAAAGGTGGAGGGT